AAAATTAAACTTTCAAACTCATCAAAAATAAACTACGATAAAGAATAAAAATAACTTCTCAAAACCCACCCAAATTGTGCAAATAATAATTACACTACAAACTCCCTCACCTCACTCACTAATAGCTCCCCCAAGCCAAGCTTTGGACTAGTAACCAATGGGGCAAAAAAAAGCTTGTAATGTGGTTTATAAACAACAGAAAGTCAAGGCATTGACATGGGTAGCAAGGAGGGAACAAATGTATCTAAAATCATCTGAAGGCTACCTAAAAGAACAAATGTCTTCGTCCTTCACAATGTGAATAATAATGAGACATGAAACACTACTCATAGTTGCAAATCAATACTTAAATTCATTGACATACCAGGAACTAACACACATTCTTAACCAAATCAACTAGTCAAGCACTATATTCACAAGCAGTTGGACAAAATTGACGCATGTTAGGACATCCAAGCAATCAAACTTCAAATAATGATAAACAAATCCACAATGCTCATCATCATGTACCAAGAATCAAAACAATTTTCAAGTATGAGGCACAAGGAAGCATGATTCATTATTCATTGGAACGTATTTTTGATTTTTTCCAATTTTTTTGTATTTTTCATATACGAAAGCAATAAAACTATACTAGAAAGCAATAAATCTAATCTAAGAAAACACACCAAAAATAAAAGAAAAGAGAAAAAGAAAGATACCAAATCCAAAAATCTCCCCCAAGCCAAAATCAGACAATGTCCTCATTGGATCGGGAACTAGCTCAGGTGGCTAATCCTCATCATCCTCATCAATGGAGCCGAATCCTCCACCGCTACCACCTGCACCAGAAGAGCTACCACCAAAATAGTTAGGCTGAAACCCCCCTCCCCCCTCCCCCCGCCGGTCCCCCAAAAGGTATGTCCTGGTCGTACCTGAGGAAAGATGAATAGTTAGTATAAATACCACGGGCGGTGGGATCTCTATCATATCCCTAGGGTAGGGGCTGAAACCAATCAGGGTAAATAGCATTATCGGGAATATTACACGGACGAGCATAATCATCATACATAGGATACAGGGCTCTACCCTAGTTCCTCTCAAGGTACCCTAGTCACTGGTCAAGGGAGTCTACCATCCTCCTAAGGTCGCTATGTGAATGCTCTATGCGTCCTATGGCCTGACCTATACTCTGAAGGTCCCATACTGTCTCAGAGTCACTATAAGGAGGAGGTGGGGTTGTATGAGACATACGAGGTGGTGAAAGCACTACCTTGGGCTCAAGATCGGGTGGTGGTGGAACTGGCGGTGCTTGCCCCCGGGCATGGGAAACTAAAAGGTCATATCTGTAGGACTCTTTCCCAGGGGGAAACGAGGTCAACTCGGGACTAGGCAGGGGAAAGATGGGTAATGGTTTCTCTGTTCCTATCCTAATGTGCCAGTGGGGGACTCGCTGGCTATCCAAACGTACCCAACCCAAATCATCAAGGTACCTAGCAGTAATATAGGTGTCCAGTCCACAGTTAGTGAGACCGTGAGGTCCACTCTCAACAAACCCGACCTTCTTAACTACTATCCTAGTAATTAGGCCTCCTAGACGAATCGGGGTAGTAGGGTCCAAATTTTGACAGGCTAAAGTCGTATCATCCAATCAAAAGTAATTCCTAAATCCTCTAATTAATGCAGATAGTGAAGTAGGGTCGAATCCACAGGGAAATTGGTCTTTCTATTCCTAATTAATTAAATCAATCTAAATTATTAAGTGACAAATTAATGATATGGAAAAGAAACTAAAATACGAAGATTAAGGGTAAAGAGAAACCAATGAATAAAGGACCTAGGGCATAGGTTCACCAATAAATAATATTCCAAAGTAAAATATAATAATCAATCATCAATTAATTTCGCTATGTGTTACAATCACATAATTAATCTACCGCATTAAATCTCATCTCTCGAATCTCGACTTAACCATTTATAAATTAACCTGCCTATTGAAATTAAGCCTAAATATCAATTCTCATCTCTCGAATCTCTAATTAAACTCATACATAAAAGATCTGCGCAAATCTAGTTGCATAGCGTTAAATCAATACATAGGAAATTAATCAAGCATTGATAATCAACAACAATAAATTACCCCTTCATATTATTTATGGATCCCCATAAACCCTAGAAAGAAAACTACTCAAACATAATTAAATCTAAACTAAGCAAAATAATTAAACAAGTCATGATGGAAGAAATCAATATAAATAAGTGAGATTAAAGTAGAAGAAAGCGTTACCAAAGTAATCGGAATTAAGGAGTTGAATAAAGAACAAAGTTCAGAATAAAGTTGTAGATAGAGAAAATAATCTAAAAACTAAGTAGAGAGAGAAAGTATAAAAGAAGGAATAATAGAAGTAAAAGAAGAGAGAGAGAGTCTAAAAAACTCTAAAACGTATTTATATTTAACACTTAATTAATCCTAATTAAAACTAGCAAAAATCTCCAAAGTCAGCTTCTCAGAAACACGCGCCCGATCAGGCGCCACACCGCCCGATCGGCGCGCCTTTTCTTCATCATGGGCATCTCTCGCACCCGGCCGGGCGCGAGATAGGGTGAAAGATAAAACTTTCCTAAATTAAATTCCAACTTAATAAAATAATTAATTAAATAAAACTTTCCTTTTATAAAATATTTCAAAAATTGTTTAAAATAAATCATTAATATATCATAAATAATTCATTTCAAATTATTTAAATACCCCACAAAATACTTATTTTAAATAAAATACGTATAAAATATGGGGTATTACACCCACTACTTAGCTAATCCCTATATTCAAAGCAGTCGCATGCAAACACAATAACTAAGCATAACCATCAAGGAGTCCCTAATATAAATAGCCCACTAAGGGAAGCTTTGGTTAGACCAAATATCAAGCCAAGACTTTTCCTTAGCATCCAGCACATAGCTACGCAAGCCCATGGTTCCCCCGAAGGAACCATGGTCATCGTTGGCCCGGTCCGCACTTGTTCCTCCATGCCGGAGCCACTACGGTCTCCACTATAGTAGTGGACCATAGAGACAACTTCGCATGATCCAAGAGCATCCCATAGCCAAACCACGCACTGGTTAGCTAGCATAAGCCCCAAGCCCTTGTTAGTCGCCCCGCACCTGCCCTAGTCGGGACTACCGAGTCGGTTTGTTCTATCGAGTGTCCACCATAGCCCTCCAAGTGTGCTATAGTCCCCATAGGCCATCCTATGTCTAAGACTATGCCCAAGGCCCCTATCCCTAAGGACACCCTTAAGTCAGCCCCTGACCCTTGAGTGAGCACTCGCCCCTTGAAGAGCTTTATTGTGATCTAACCATGAAATACTAGTAAACACTCAACTGACGGCAACATAATAATGGGCTCTCAAGCCCGATCCTTGAACCCAACCTTGGCCCTATGGCCATGTATGATCTATTAGGGTCCTAATAAGTCCCCTCAGTAAGTATCAAAGGTTGTTATATAGTTTTGCTCAACCAAATACTCTCAGGTTCTTTAGGTGCGCGCGCGTGCTAGCCCAAGGCCTAGCCGATCAAGGCTTTGCTAGCACCATGGCTGCACTTTGGGGTTATCCCTAATACCCTCACAAGCCTTAAGCATGGTAGTGAGAAACTCTAGCCTCACTTGCCTCGTTCTTCTTGATTCGAGCACGCACTTGCTCGCGTGGGCAAGTGGGATCCCGAAGGCCTTGCGTGCCTATGCGGGGTGGTCGACATCCTTGCCTAGGTCGACCCAAAAGTGACTGTGACAAACCTCACCAAAAGAGCTTGATGTCCTCGTCAAGATCGTCGCATGATCTATGCTCTCCGAGCACAAACGTCTTCCCTTAATCCGAGCTTTGTCCCATTCTCATTGGTAGAAGGTTACTAGTCACCAATCCACCTTGACGATTCTTTCTAGTATCATTCCTTGGACCATGAATTTCCCTCGCTCGGAAATAGTCGTGTCTCTTACGACTTACCACATCGATACTCGGTTGGGCTACCTTGTAGTGCCAACGTCTACTAGGTAACAACATAGGTCCTTGTAAATAACCCTTGTCTAATATTCCCTTTTAAAGTCGGCATGGGACTATTTGGACTTGCTTTCGTCTTCCACGAAGACATCCTCAAAGGGTTGCTCCCCCATGGAGCTTATTATGAGATGATTTGCATCTCTCCCAAAGGCCACCCTCGCTCGGGTCAACACCTTAATGGGGCAGAGTGATAGCATACTCTTGCCACTCACTCGCTTGGAAGTGCTCATGAGCCCGGGGATCCATATACAAGCTCTATCACCAAGACTTTCGTTAGCTTTTTGCTAACCTCGGCTCAGCCATCGTCATTGCTCTCCAACCGCCTCGCAATCAATCGCATTGATTGTTGGTCCATAAACCGACTCATTCTCTGAGTAATTTCTTTACCATGGTATCACTTCTATGCTGAGTTCACTCAACAATTCTCATCTTTCCATGAGAAATAGTAGGAGCAAGGTCCTACCTTACTTTACCATACTTGTGAACATGCTCCGAATTCGTCCTTCAACCTTGACATTCCGGTCACAGTAACGCTTATTTAAACACGACGGGAAAAGGAAAAACATTTGGAATACTAGGTTAGTTCCCGTGCCATGCACGGTAATTTTTAATAACTATTATTAAACTATCATTATAATCAGTTTTTATGAAGAAAAAAAAAATTTATAAATATAGTAGTTGACAAATTTTGAGCAAAATAAAGGATTACGTAAGATATGTTAGATATAAAACGGTGTTGAAAATTAGTAAAATAAAGGAATTCATAAATTATGAGTTAAGAAATTTTTAATAGCATATAAATATTCGTGTAAAATATATGTCAAATTTTTTTTATTTTAAGTGATTATATCGTATAATATTAGAGAATTATTTTTGTAAATTTTTGTAAATAAATTTTGTTTCTTTAATTAAATTTTATTCAAAAAAAAACTAAGAACACACCAGAATGACACGTGTCATTGCCGGTGTGTCTTTTAGTATATAGTTATTGATGATTAAATGAGCTAATAGGATTTGAGATACCTCTCTCTCTCTCTCTCTCACGCGCGCGCGCACACACACACACGCACACACGCACACACAAAAACTAAAAATAACACACATAAAAACTAAAAATAAAAACTAGAAAAAACAGAGTAAAAGTTGATTGTTTTCCCTCCAAAAGACAAACATTAACATCTCTTCTATGATCACATCTCATGTACCTACCATTAAAACCCAAATCATTTCTTCAATTTTTACCACCATTTTCTTCTCTTTCTTCTTCCAATTTGATATGGGTATCTCATTTTTCGTTGAAATCCCCTCAATTTTTATCAGAATTGAAAACCCATCCCGCAAATTTCTTCAATTCAATCAACATTCAAAGTGGAAACCAAAATTCAAACAAAGAATGTATTGACCATGAACTTGAATTGGTTTCTGCTCTGAAATCTTGTTCTTCCCTCCAGTCAATTTTTCAAGGTCAGCAAATTCATTCCTTAATAATAAAATCAGGTCTTGATTCCAATATTTTTATTCAGAACAGTATAATTAGTATGTATGTTAAATGTAATCAGATTGGTGTTGCTAAAAAGTTATTCTATTCGTGTTCACGATTGGATTCAATTTCATGTAATATTATGCTTGGTGCTTATGTGAAATCCGGTATGTTGGGTGATGCCCTCCAACTGTTTGATATAATGCCTGAAAGAGGGGGTGTTGCTTACACTACCATGATAATGGGTTTGGCTCAGAGTGATAGATGGAGTCAAGCAATCTCAATTTTTAAGGGTATGAGAGTTGCAGGAGTTGCTCCAAATGAGGTAACTATGGCTAGTGTCATCTCATCGTATACTCATGTTGGTAGGATTTCGGATGGTAGAGCTCTCCAAGCATTGACTACAAAGGTAGGACTCAAAGACTTTGTTCTTGTTTCTACTAATTTGCTGCATTTATATTGTGTTAAATCTAGTTTAGAGGATGCTAGGCGCTTGTTTGATGAAATGCCGGAAAAGAATATAGTTTCCTGGAATGTGATGTTGAATGGATATTCTAAGGCAAAGTTTGTTGATGTAGCCAGGGATTTATTTGATAAGATTCCTGAAAGGGATCTGGTTTCATGGGGCACAATTGTTGATGCATATATACAAGTAGATAGGCTAGTTGAAGCTTTGACACTGTATCGTTCAATGCTAAGTGCAGGATTAAGGCCCAACGATGTTATGATTGTGGATTTAGTTTCAGGATGTGGGCGAGTAGTGGCAATTGGTGAAGGTCAGCAACTGCATTCCACAGTAGTAAAAGCTGGGTTCAACTGTTATGATTTTATTCAATCTACAATTATTCACTTCTACTCAGCTTGTGGGAAAATTAATCTTGCTTGCTTACAATTTGAGGAAGCTTGTCAATCCCATCTTGCATCCTGGAATGCCCTTATATCAGGGTTTGTAAGAAATGGAATGATTCAGAAGGCCCGAGAATTCTTTGACAGGATGCCTGAAAGAGATATCTTCTCCTGGAGCTCTATGATTTCTGGTTATTCGCAAAGTGGACAGGCTAGTATGGCTTTAGAATTGTTCCGAGGAATGGTGGCAGTTGGTGTCCAGCCAAATGAGATCACTATGGTGAGTGTTCTTTCTGCCATTGCATCTGCTGGTGCATTGAAAGAAGCAAAGTGGGCACACGAGTTTATCAGAAATAATTCTATCCCTCTCAATGACAATTTAATTGCAGCGCTTATTGATGTTTATGCAAAATGTGGGAGCATCAGCAACGCATTGGATGTTTTCAATCCTTTACGACCCAAAATCACTTCAGTCTCTCCATGGAATGCAATAATATGTGGATTGGCAATGCATGGACATGTTACTTTGTCATTGAGAATATTTGAAGACTTAGAAAAAACAGGTATTCAACCCAACGCGATAACTTTTATTGGAGTTCTGACAGCGTGTTGTCATGCTGGATTAGTGGAAGCAGGAGAAAAATATTTTGAGAGCATAAAAAATGTCTATAAGATTGATCCAAATATTAAGCATTATGGTTGTATGGTGGATCTCCTAGGCAGAGCAGGGAAATTGCAAGAAGCCGAGGCAATTGTAGAGAGCATGCCAATGCAGGCAGATGTGGTCATATGGGGTACTTTGTTGGCAGCCTGTAGAACACATGGTAATGTGGAGGTTGGAGAGAGAGCAGCTAAGAGTTTAAGGGACTTAGATACCTCTCATGGGGCAAGCAGGGTCCTGCTGTCCAACCTTTATGCCGATGTTGGGAGGTGGAATGATGCGATTGGGGTTCGGAAATCGATGCAAGGTGAACAGATGATAAGGCTGCCTGGTGCTAGTTTTGCATGATATTTTTTTTTAAGAGAAGTTGGGAAAGTTTCGCTGTTGAAGTTCTCGAGTATAAAAAATTATGAATTGTACTAATTGAAGCTCTCCGTAGTTGATGACTTGTAATGACAAATATTAAGTAGTTGACGACTCATACTAGTATTAATTAAGCAATGGCCTTCTGCATTGTAATGAAAAATGATAATGATGCTTGTTTAAACAAAATTTCTGCCACTTGTGTATAAACATTAAACACTACTGGGGTCAACTGCCCTTGTATTATGGTCCAAGTGTTTTGAAGCCGGATCATGCAGCACGCTCATCACTGGTATAGAATAAGCTTGTGAGCCAAAGCATCAAAAGAGGAGACAAGTCTGAGTCCTTTGAGGAGCACTCGTGCTTATTGACTACGAGCAAAGTTGATGAAAAATCAGCGCTTATGAGTTATGACGACCAAGTAAGTTGAGGCTAGCACAAGTGGGTCTAACAATGAGATTTACCTGTTTCACCTATGTCAAACAGTCTCGGACCATGACATTTTAGCAGATGAAGACTAACATTGCCTTGATATTTTAGCAGATGAGCCAATAGTGATCTATGATTTATCAGTAAATAAGTCACCTGGGAGCTGCTTCATTTATCTAAAAACATGCATAAAATTTGGAAATATGGAGTGCATAATAATGACTTGCCAACCAATTTGATACCAAACAAAAAATTTGAATGGAAGGCCTGAAGAAATCATCACCTACGAGTTCACTGGAAAGGAAAAAAAAACCAATACTATACACCTCTCCCTATTTAATACTCGTAGCAAGGTAATAAAAGATAGCTATGGTACAAAGATTAGTTACGTAATCTCAATATGAGTAAACATGTACTCCCTACAAATAAAAATAAAAATACAATGTGGTCATGGCTGCACAACTACCCTACATGATGAAACTCATGTACAATTCTACAAGAAACTAGCAGGCACCTTTTATAAAATTTAGGTGCCGCAAAAAGAAAGAAAGAAAGAAAGATGTGCGTTATCTCTCACTTTCTACTATGAGCTTTGCCGCTGCACCCATGGTATTCATCCCACCAGTCGTGAGCAATGCAAAAGCAATGTCCTCTTCATTCCAGTGAATCAGTCCTTCACTCAGTCTCATCAATACATTCACGTCCATTTCCACCACCCAATTTGGTGTGCACCCTACCATCAAGTTTATGAAACTCGAAACATAGGCTTTCCATACAACTGAATCACAACCCAAAGAGATCTTACCATCCAAAGCACTTGCTAGAAATTCCAAGTATTGCCCAAGAATTCTAGGGCGTCGTCTGGATGCAGGTGATGATGAGTCAACACCCCAAGCAAAGGCTCCACACAGGACTGCAAAATACGCCAATGCATGACCTCTAAACGTTGAAACTATTTCTTCTGGTTCTTCTTGTGCAGATCTCTGAACTGAGATGAACCAAGAAGGTAGAGTTTCTTTTAATAGACACTGAACCAAGCACTGTCCCCCAGATAACCACAGAAGTGTAGCAGCAAGAGAAGCTGCCAGTTTCACTTTAGTCATTACCACATCGAGCGAGACCTGCCCGTATATTGGTCCCATTTTTGTCCTTTTAAGTTTCTTTCTTGATTGCTTAGATATCCCAGCACCTACTATCTCTCGAACAGACTGCATTAAGAGAAATATTATTTCCTCTGCTAAATACATGATCTCTCTAACAGAGCGATATACACGCAAATATAGAATTCCTGGAGCAACAGGAGATATCCCCCCATTGAAATGAGACCCAAATCCATGGCCAAGAAGGGCAGCAACCCCACCTCTGCTTGAAGAAGGATTGGTGCTCAGACCAAGTGTGGTAGTAAAGCAACTACGGAGAAGCTGAACCACAGCATTGTTGTCATGGAGGAAGACGGTACGTGATGCCGAGAAGACAAGGAAATCACTCCAACGTTTTGCCTTTTGTGTCCACAAAGAAGCCACAATAGGCATGCATGGCCATGGGCAGTCAGCTGCAAGGGACTCAAGGGCTGGTCCTGCCAGATTGAGGAAACGCTGCGATACTTTGTCAAGTTTATAGGTTATAGTGAGGCTCAAAAATGCAGCCAACGGCAGAGGAAGAGTAGCTGGAGAATTTACTGCTGTAACAAAAGCATATATGTATTTAATAGATTGATGAGAGGAAAATATATGGGGATCATAATAACTGCGACTCATATGAAATAACTCCAAAAAACAGAGAAAGCTGCAAAACATTATAGAGCAAGCAATTCTAACCAACCATTGAGATGATTATTAAATGAAGTTGCTAAGTGTTATACTGGAAAACATGTATGAGAAATGTAAACCGAAGCGTAACAACTTTGTCCAGGGATGCAAACATGGTCTATGAAGCATCTCTACCCTTTCTTACAAGTTATAATTACATCATTAATACCTTTGAGATCACCTGAGTAGGGAAAATTCAGGAGACAACTCTGACATTACAATCACAGAAACATTCCTAAATTCTTTGGTGTAAATTCACATGCAATTTTTAAATTTCAGAATTTGTTTCTAGTTGCCACAGAAGACAAGCCAACCAAACCCCCATTTTGAAAGAAATGTTCACAACCTATATTATCTTGGATGTCAAGGGACAAAATTTAGATACCAAATCAGCATATACTAAGAATGGATAGCTTTTAAAATTGCCAAGGATGGGAATGCTATAAATTATATTACCTGCAGCAAGGCTGGGAACATCAACCCCAGTTGCAGCAAGTATATTCTTGATTTGTTCCTCAACATTAGATAAATTTGCTGCAGGGCTTGGCCAATCTGTTCCATTCATAAGAGCCGGTTTCCATATTCCCCGAGTCACTTCAGCAGAAAAGTAACTCACTATTGTTGCCAAAGACGCAGGAAGAAAATCAGCAAGATCTTTAAGACCTACATTAAGAAAAAATTATCAGGTTTATGTCATCATTGCACAAAATCACAAAATCCAATATCATTGTAGAATACCTGTGTTACAAATTACACACAAGAAAATTGAAGGAGTTGGATCGGAGTAAATGTGTATATACAATTACTTGAAAAAAAGACGCTTCTTATACATTTTCAGCATAGAAATATTACATGTCAAACTGTAAAGACATTCACTAGTATCACAGAGGTTGAATGAAACAGGATTTACCTGTAGCTAGCTCACGAGGAGTGACCTGTCCATGAGCACAGGCACTTAAGGCTGCATCAACAACATAGGGAACAGCTTCCAGAATATCCCAAGCAGGCAACTGGGGTCTTAAAGAGCTGTCTTCACTAGCAGGCCCAGAAGAATTACTACTTCCAGAAGCTGCAGAAGACTGAACTCCTCTGTTGATCTTTCTGAAAATCATATTTAAAAGTACCTCAACAATCTGATGCACAGGACTTTCAGGAATTAGACCAGAGAGAGGTGCAGCAATGCATGCTTGGTGCTGACGATACCAGACTTTCAATTTTGGAAAGGAATCAACGAATATGGGTTTTGGGCATGATGCACTAAAAACAGCTGAAAGTCTTCTTTTGTTACGATCCTTGAGGACATATCCTGCAGATGAAAGGAGAGCGTTCCGCACTAATAAAAGGTACTCTGGAGTAAGTTGAGACCCAACTGGAGGTACATCTCCCACACCATAGTCAAGAGGCAGATGATTGAACCGCCAGAGCTTCAAAAGTAGAGCGAAGGCATTTGAAAAAACAGCATGAGCGGAAATTTCTTCCTCATTGACTGTCCATGAAACATTAGGAACACATGATCCAAAAACTTCACAGATTGTCATTAATGATGCAGCAAGTTGAGGCACCTGCAAAGAAGCGGAAGACTAAATGAATACCGACAAAATCTCTATCTCCACCTATTTTTTTCATGAATTTTTCACAAGTATAGTTGAGACAAAATAGTCATGCCCCAAACAATCGACACTGTTTAAAGCGAGCACTTGTTTCAAAAAATTAGTTCATACTTCTATATCTACCACCACAAAAAGTATTCCAGTCAACAATCCTAAAAGTCCCTTCTTTACATGTTTGCAAAAACATAAAGCAAATTCTGCCAGCAAATAAAAATCATTCTTGTTTAAAAAAACTGTCAACTTGCTCCAGTAATCAGCAGTTTATTTGCTCAACTACTCCCTTCGTTCTTTTTTTTTTTTTTTTTATCTTCCTACTTTCCGTTTTGATATGTTCTTTATTTATCTTCCTACTTTTACTTTATTCCTTTTATGGTAAAAAAAATACTCACTTTTTCACCTCCTTACCCCACCACATGGTCCACATTTTATTATACAAAAAATACTAATGTCTCTACACAATTTTCTCTTTCCTTCCCAAAAAAGTCAAAAAAGGGCCCATTTTCCACTAATTCTCACTTATTCATGTTCCAAATTGTTAAAGTAAATCAAAGATAAATAAATAAAATAAAATAAAAAAATAAAAGAATAAAAAAAGAGTGGGGGGAGTGCCTCCGTTCCTAGAAGTTCTATTTGCACACAAATTAAGGCAAAGGGAGAGAGAGGGTCAATGTGGTGTGTGTAAGAAAAAAGTGGAAGAGTAACAGATAGTACAAAGGTGTATATATTGAGGGGTAAGGGAGGTAAGGTAGTAAATTGGGTTTGTTAAAATTAGAATAACACAAGAGTGTAAAGAATTTCAGAACAGACTAAACGAAAAGCAAAAATAACTTTCAGAAAGGAAGGTAGTATTTACTAATAACTCCTAAAAGAATAAAATGATGTGAACTTATTATATAAGGTGTCCTAAGAAGCTATACAAATTCAACAAGACAGAAACAGAGTCAAACCCCAGCATACCAAGCCATGTAACGAGAAGATCTGGACACAGTCAACTGGTGCTATTCCAACCAAGAGCACAAAAAGCATTGGTGCATATGCTATAAGATGGCTGTCATTACCCAGAAAATCAGCAGGAACTGGAGGAGACAGTAACCTAGTTATAAAAGACACACTATGCTCCTGCAAGACAAGACATCAAATGTATCAATAAATCAATGTTCACTCATAAAATGCCGACACTAGTTTAAAGTTGGAATGTCTAATTTATTACCTGTACATTCCATCCCCGAAGTAAGGATGCCCCACAAAGAATTGTGGCTGCGTAAATCTTTTCATCCTCTGATCCGCTCATTGCAAGCTCAAATACTTTCTCCAGCTCTGCTAAACTTCCATCAAGTGCATGAGCTTAAATTCAGTTGCTTTACCCTCAGTTAATTTACTAAATAGAATATCTTTTACACCTGACTTCAGAAAAATACATGTAGCAAGAGGCCAAGTATAAAACATAATGAAAAAGAGACTTATAATTTATACTCTTGTAATCTCTTAAATAGACCCGATTCACATTAATTTATTGTGGACCACTAATATTAGGGTCACTCTATGCTTACATGTTGAAAGTCTTTATATTAATAAAAAGGTCACCAAGTCAAAATAGAGGTTATTATGTTAAATTGTAAGTCATTGTGTTATAATAAAGGCCATATGATATTAATATATATTATAATGAGAGTTTTAATATACTAGTCAATATATATATAAAAATCACTATGCTAAAATTAGGTTCATTATGTTCAACATAACATCAACGGGCTAGTTCATCCGTCTTTTTTATTGCGTCACTTTAGTTTTCACGGACTCCTAGACAATTTTTGGAGTAGAGAGAGGTAGACAGAAAAAACAAATAGGGCCCATGTGACAGGACAGAGATAGAGAGAATTTATTTAGTAAAAAGGAAAGTAATGCATCTACATTGAAGATTCCTTAATTAGAAAGTGATGCATCTAAAAGAAAATGGAGAAAGTATTATTGTTGATCAGGTCACACAAACTTTAATAAAGCTCACTATCTTAAAATTAGAGTCACTATATTTAACATAACATCAGTTGGCACATTATTACTTGTGTCAAGACAAAGAGAATTCAACTCGATTAAGAACCATTCTAAAATTCTGAATCTCTATCCCACGTCCCACCCTTCACACTATTTTAAAAGGCGCATACAATCTTCCACGACAATATAAAAAATTTACAAACTCTACAGAAAACAAGTAGGAATCGATAAATCCATAGAAGCTTTTAAAAGGCGCATACAATCTTCCATGACAATATCAAAAATTTACAAACTCTACAGAAAACAAGTAGGAATCGATAAATCCATAGAAGCTAGAGGAAGACTTCTCAGGTAATTCTTAGCATACCTTGAAGCTGGAGCAGCAACCATAGAATTGATCATCACAGGTCTAAGTGAAGCTCCCTGCATAAATGATGACCAACCAGGCACTTGAGAAGGAATACGACTAGGAAATTGATTTATTTGACCATTCACATAGCCTGGCCAAAAATATGCCGATGTATCAAGAAGATTCCTAGCTATGCAAGCTTCAACTATTAAGTGCCGCATATTCCCAGCTGCAAATGAGGATTAATAAACAGATCAAAAATAGGCAGTAAGATCAGCAACAACCATGCAAACTTTCACAAGTGTCATCAGCAAAGCATATGCACAAAGTAACTAATTGGTTACTTCTGATGCTGACACTAATAAATTATGTATCTGCTGCTGTTTGGGTGTAATTTGAAGCAAGTATTTGTGCCTCCCACCCATCTTTTTAATATGAGCTTCATTAACACTTGGTTAATCTATTTAAGTAAAGGATAGACAAAATATCAGACATCCTTTTCAATGAAGTTTGTCCAATTACGTAACTTAGAATTAGATATTCAATAGAATGCTTTACTAAACAAAGACGCGTAATCATAAACAAAACTTTTAAGTAAACAAAAAACTGGAAAAACTTAATTACTCTAACCTTTTCCCCTTTCCATCTTTCTCAGAGAAAAACAGCAAAGTTGATAAAGTCCAATACCCTTACTCCAAGGTCAAACAATTTGAAGTTTGACTGAACTTGAGGTGGGGAGCAAAATTTCGCCCACCTCAGTTCCCTGATGAATAATGATCACAGGAAGGAGGAACCATGATCGCTCCATCCAGGTTGGCAAGTTGGAATCCACCACCACCCCCCCCCCCCCCGGGTTTCCCACCTTCCAAACACAGAATGATCACATTACCTTCCACTTTATTCTGAAGGCTATTTAATTCTTGAGCTTAAATTGTTCTATTTTCCCATATGAGTGTAATACTGTACACCAGGTATACAGCTATTAAATTATTACAAAACTTGTAGTTCCCCCTTCAAATCTTTCTTGAGAAGAGCAGCAAAGTAGATAATACACAACACTCTATTTCAACACTCTATTCCACCTAAATGGAATTTGGTCATTATAATACCATAGATAAATGGGATATAATGCGTCTGTAAGAATTGTAACACAACAGAGCAACAGAATCAGTTAATCAAAAGTAAAACTTAGGAAATATGGGACTATGGGCGGAATTCCTATTGCCTTGAAGACGCTGAATGAAAGCAATGACAAAAAGTAATGATAAATATAAAAGATTATAACACTAAAGAGGCAGGCGACAGAAAATCACACAGGCACACAGCAAAATAGGAAGATTGTCACTTAATTCTGGCAGTTTCGCTTACAATAGATGATGGTCAAGCAAAGAAAAATATAGGGATTTCATTAAACTAATGAGGCAGACGACTAAGAACCGCAGAGGCAGACAGAAAAATTGGAAGACTGACACTAGAACTTGACAGTTCCGCTTACAGTAGAAAAACACCTTGGCAGTCAAGCACAGAACATAATCATTCTTTTTCATTAAATTAAAATAATTCAGAAACTTTGTAATTCAATCCTGATAAATACTTACCGCAGTTAGTTGGTAGATCATCCACATTAATGCATTCAAAGTATCCACCAGAGACATCAATGCCTGAAATAATCATCATTGCTTTTGCAGCAGCCAAATTGGCAGAAGGAACAACAGATTGAGGTGGGGACAGCAAAGACTGATAATCGCCAAGTATCTGCAAACAGGAAACCAAATCTTTGCGACGAGTGTAGGGATCAAATCTTCTATTCCAATTATTGGTTAAACCACTTTCTGATTCATCTAGTGGATTTTCCTCTTCGTCAATGAGATCAGCAACCACTAGAGGAGTGATCGACAACAAAACACACATCCGGGTGTCAAGGCGAGGAACAGGCCCTTCCATTGGATCCCTTTCCTTGAAAATTCAAGACAGATCAAGAATGTGAGCTGTACCGTTTATATTTCAACCAAAATAAAAGACACAAAATAACAAAAACAAATTCAGTCTGTCTCTTGTGTAAGGCGTTACACACGCAACATATTCCCTTTTGGGATGTTTCACTATTACATGCATCATTTCCTTCAAAGAAAGTTTATTTTGGTGAAATCAATTCACTAACCAATATATAAGTAGAGATTACTCGACTTTTGTACCTTTGTTGTGCACACTCTTTTAATCAAATGTCTTTCTCCACTCAACTGATTAGCGTGCAAAATAAATGATGCAAGTATTCGGAAACAGTGATAGTATTATTTAGGGAGTTTATTATCAAAATATTAAGAAAACTCAACAACTCAACTCATAAGCCGATTACCAATATTAGATACAAGTTTTGGGCTGAAGGGAAACTTCACTCAGCCATGGCTTAAAAATTTTAATATAAAAGATGGATAATAATCATCTTCAATGGAGATGAAAGATTCATCATTTTTAGGCTTCAGATTACAGAATGAATCAAAAAGGCATAGTATTGGGTTTCAGTTTAAGGTTTAAATGCAACAGCCACTCTAATATTGCTGGAGTGTGGCTGGAACTCTTCAGCACCACCCCCCCCCCCCCCCTCTTAAAAAATTAGGAATATGTGGAAAACATTAATGAAGAAATAATTAAATCAATAAATGCATGACATTCTAAAACAAAACAGCATCCTTATGAAAGATGGTTTGGAGTGCCAGGAACCAGATGGTCAGATGTCTTACGACTCTTACCCTTTGAACGAAACGTAGAGCACCAACCCACAAGGCTAAAAAGGTATCATACCAGGAGGTATTGTTAATCGCTTGAAGGGACTTCACCAAACCTGTCGAAAAATGTGACATTAACTTGTCGTCCTCTTTGTAACAAATTCAACATACGTAGTATAACATATCTTGCAGTTCTAATGTCGACTGTACCAGTAATGATCTCAACCGCACTTGTTGCTGTAACTTGAGATCCATCCATGACATCCTCCAAAATTATATCAAGTGGAAGCCACAAACCATAATGGCAAGTTTCTTGACCATGAACAGGAGAAGCCAGTGATATGAAATCCAAATCACCAGAAAACTCTTCTGACTTTTTGTATTTCCAGGATGAAAGTTTGCAAGCATCAGAAGTCAATTCTAAAAGCATTTTGGGACTTAAAATCTTTGGATTCCTTAACGTTGATGAGTTAGTTGCAAGCAACTCTAATCTTTCAGTTAAAGCTGCCCATTGTTTTGGCCTGAAGCAGGAAAAGACAAAAGGTATTGAGCATCTTTAGCATAACTAAATGTAATAAAGCTTCATAATGGCAATTAATTCTGGGTTCCATGGTTACATAACTGGTACATCAAAACCGATCCAGCACAAAAGCAAGAGGTAGGCAAACAAAATCATATGGAGGTTTAGCATCAAGCTGAGTTGCCTTTTATGTTCAACATACATCTGATACTCCATGCTTTTACAGTAAACAGTTCATAATTAAATGTTGAATGGAGTTTTGAGGGATTTTTGTGCATTATATTTATATATTTTTTGGCCGGGGGAAGGGGTGGTTGGTTGATCGGAACTAGGAAGTGAAAATGGTGTTCTTGACTTCTTTCAAAGGCACTAATAAGTGCTGCCAATGAAACATAGATTGAGATTAATTAAAACTAATGAGATAGGAACTAGGCAATGAATAATTGAATATAGAGTTCAATCAAAGGTTAAAAAGTGCTGCCAATAAATCAGAGTGTAATCAATAAAATGTACTAGCAACTAATGACTAAAATGAAACAATTCTTGCAAATTCAGCCATCAAAATGTAACAAGCCAGCATAATACGGACAATTCTAAGAGATGAAAATGAAGATTTTGACTAAGAAACAATATGAATGGGAAAATTGAAGCAGCAATAAAAAGGAGATGGAATTCGCATGAACAATGAAATTTTTTATTTAAAAAAAATAGTACAAACTTTCGAGAGGCTTGTTCTCTTCTAACCAACCTTCTAGAGGCCGGAGCTCTTCAAAGTTTTTTTCACTCTCTAACAATATTAAACATCCCCTTTCCTTATGCATACTCTCCCTATGACTATTAACGGAATCATATTTGACTACCCATAATGCCCCTCCTAAAGTCGGTTCATCACACACAACTGACCAGAATATCTATTTGTTTGACAAAACTTGCACCAGTAAAAAGTGACGTGTAATCATAGTTGGTGCAATCACTTTAATGTTGTTTTTTAGGGAAGGGTGGCAAAAGAGTGGAAGAAAGGGGAATACTTAATAGCACAACTTGTAGTCTAACTGACCAGAAGAAAAAACAAGAGGAGCTTCCCTTTAAGGGTTTTACCAATATAAAATAGACTTCTAAACAAAAATTTAAGACTTACATGTTATGGCGAACCAAGCAAATCATTCTAAAGGTAACTCCATTTTTAAAAAATTGTCCAATAATCTCAAAGGCCATCTCAGTATTCATTCTTCTCAATTTGTCAAGTTGTTCAAACTTCTTCTCATCATAATTATCATAAGGATCAACATCCATCTCTTGAGTACTAATAGCCCAGAAAGATTTCTTCTCTGTGGTAAGTTCCAGTAAACCCTCATCATCTAGTAATGCATCAAGCAGCTGCCACATGATAGTAAACACAAATTCAACCAATAAAACATTTGGTTCACTTGCTCGTGAACCAAATATCTGAGAAAGACATAGGACATGCTCAATTGACATCATGACTCTGCAAGAACAAAGAAAATGAGATTAAGGTCTTAAGACAAAAAAGGATATGTAATAATAAATAATCATTACAATTAAGCATAATCCACACAATGAAAGAGAAAGTCGAACAATACATGGAAAGCACCATTAAAAGAAAAAAAAACAAACGAAGAAAGTGGGTCATTTGAAACAAGTAAAATAAGAAATTTAAGTTCTATATAGATCATAATTCAAGTGCCGCACAGCTTAATCTAAAGGAGATAATAATCTAAATAGCCATGATAAGGGTCTGCAGCTCTGCTATTTGCCTATCAGGACTATCACTAATTTCTTCTCCTCAACAGTTTAGATCTTTCAGCACACAAGAAGTGACCACACATTATTTTTACAAAGTTCACATTAAGGTTCAAACTCTAAATTTACTGGAAAAGGGATAGAATCCAAATCAGCCCACCCCATTTAGTGTTTCTAATCCAAGATTATAAATATTAGACTAGTAAAGCGCCTTTCTGAGAATAACAAAAAGAAAGAGGAACAAAGGTAACTGTAACAGCAATAATAATAACACCAGCGTGCATAAAAAGGATTATTTCAGCAAATATACGGGTAAGCATCAGTAACTACTTATACCACCTAGTGAATCACACTTCTCAGACAGATCTGTAAATTTGACAGCTTGAGAACTAAATAAAGCTAAATCAATTTAATTAACCCATAGAATCCCCATATTGTGCCATCATAAGCAGAAAAACCTGTGACACCAAAGTGACTGAAAAGAATAAGAACTACTTATATACAGGTAGCTTCTTTACATATGACCACTCCAAGATTCAGAAGCTAATAAGATCTTTGCAAATAACAATTAATTACCAGCAAAATGCATAGCTGAATAGACAGCTGTAGTGGATGCTTTAATATGGACAGAGAGCTGAAATGTTATCTAAACAACAGTAATCTAATGGGAGAGAAGATAGCTCTTAGGAAATGTTAGTGTCATGAGCTCTGAATGTGAAGAATCTTAAATACATTTTGATATATACAAAGCAGCAATGACATATTCCAAGCAAAGAGAGCTAATTCTGCACATAGTAAACACACACAACCCAGACCTACCTCAAAGCAACCTGTAAAAGCTTATCTAACGAACTGTTAGCATCAGTTTTCCCAGCCAATTATAAACAACATCGACTTTCTTTTTAAATCCATTCAGATTTCATCCAATATGTACTCAACATTATTTGTGCACAATTCACTTAAAACTGTCATGAAACACAAAAACTGAAAGCAGCACAAAACTAGATCATGAGTTGAAGACAAAGGTGATGAGTGATACAGACCCCTGCCTCTTAAAGCATCTAAATTTAGAACTTACTTTCCAAAATTAGGCACACTGATCTGAGACTTCAACTTAAAAGCATATCTCTTCAAAAATTCCATGTAAAGCCTATATCCAGTGGGTCGAGAATGTCGACAAGGAATGACCCTGTGGAGAAAGGAAATTCAAGCAAAGCACGAGTATAAAACAAGCTCAACATGCAATGACAAAAAAGGGATGAGAAAATCGGGTAACAATCTAGATTCCAAGATCAGGGAATTGTTAGATATCAGAATAACAGGAAAGACCACAAAAGTAAAGTGATTGAAGTCGGAAATGCCACAATCATCATTTTATGGGGCAGCTAACTGCAATGCATATCAAAAGCTAGAAGAATCTAACCAAAACTTAGCAATAAATTAGCCTTCAAAAGAGAAGTTAACATGATAGAAAATTGTAGAGGGGAGGCTAAAAGTGAATAAGAAAAGTAGTCCATCTAATCATGCAGTTTAGTAAAAGTAGAACAGAAGAGCTTTAAGTCAACAGCTTGTCAAAAACAGTACTAAAAAACATCATTGATATAGAATTACCAACATGAGCAACAGTACAATTACTTATTTTAAATCAAAGTAAGCAGCGCTCATGCAAATACCCCAACCAGTTTTATGTCAATTTTTTTTTTTTTTTTCAAAGGTTCTCTGATGAAAAATGAAATACCAAATTTCCCACTGAAGAAATAATTGCTAGGATAGTCATACAAGATCAACCCATACTCGTGCAATTCAGAATAGGGCTAAGACTTCAATATGATGTCGGTTTTTGTGTTGGAGAGAATGATGCCAACACTTTACTAGATGTAGTGAGTAAACCATGGGATTTTTCATTCTGATATGTATGAATCCAAGGAAAATACAGTTTTTCGTGTTAATTCCAGGACTGCTGCAAAGCTATTGATTTTCACAACCTAATATATCATTTCCTCGTTCTTTCAATATTCTCTAAGACTCTGATCCCCTTATAAGACACATCGTGTGATTCAAATCTTCATTCGTTTCCGAACACATAGAGAGCATCAATACACTTTATGCAACACCCCTCAAAAAAACAAGCAGCTTAAGTACACTTTAGGCAAAAAATTAACCACAATCCAAAATTTGAGTAGTTTGCTGCAAATGTTAGACCTGCTGTACAGTCTTGCAGAACCCAGGGATTATCACTGTAATGCATGCCTCAATTTTTTCCATCAAAACAAATGAAATAGAAACAAACAATGACAAGGTTGACCATACAAGATCAAAAGGCAGAAAATCTCAGACAAATTCAAACATTGAATAACCGAGGATAATGACACATAGATTTGCAAAAACCATCAAACATAAGGAAACTTCAATCACCAACTAATCATCTAATTTCAAGAGAACACGTCCACATAAACCAAAAATTCCAAGTTCATCTCCTAGTACTAAAAAAAAGAGTTGATTCCGGGTTATAACCGGAAAATGTTTGGTTGACACTGAGATTTACCAACCTTTGTGAGAGGTCATAGAACAATTTTTTAATACAATTATGGCTAATCACAGTATGAGAGTCGCTAACTCTTAGAGTCAATGTAACATTAATCAATATGAAAATCCAAAGTTTAATCCAAATTACCAATGATGATTATACAAACATCATGATGCAAAAAAACACCCTCAAATTTCTACAAATGCAAAATAACCCACAACATAAAAAGGGCAAAATCAATGCAAAATTCAGATCAAATCAACAAAAACCAATCAAATAACAATCAACAAATATTATAAGCAATGCAAAACAATAGAATTAAAATGACCCAGAACAACAAACAAACCTAGTAGAAAGGAGAGAAAGAACAAGCAAAGGAGGCACCATGTTCAACATAAGGGCTTTTTCTAGAAACTTCCAAGCAGAAGGAACGTTGTTGTCCCAAAAAATGTAGGACACCATAGTATGTGAAAGTTCAATAGAAGGCAAAGAAACATCTACAGAATTCAAATTAGAGGAAATTTGAATTGCCCACAAAAAAGGGTCGGTACCCTTTTGTTGGGCAGTTTTGGTAAGCTCAAGGACAGTGTCCCAAATGCTGTTCTTGTGTGTTGAAATCGCCATTGAAGAGGAGAAGAGAGAGAAAAGAAGGGACCCCAAAAATGGGAGGGAAGAGGTTTGTTATGCTAACTTTGTTGTGATTTGTTAGCCTATTATTTTTGGATGTTTTTGGTGAGTATTAGACAAACAAATTTAAAAAATTACATGTATATTTGAATGGAAGTCAAAGTAACTTTTCCACTTTGGTAATTTGATAATTATAATGGAAGTGTAGGACATTAGGACATGGGATTATTATTATTATTATAAAATGAAGCTAGAGTTGAAACTTTTAGAGTTGGAAGTAAATGAGTAATTATTCTTGTTAGTGAGTGTTATGTGTTAGACTTGTCAAATATGTCTTGATTTGTCAGTAATTAGAAAGGGATTAACGCGTGTGTCATATCTAGCCATGTTTAGATAGTTCTTCCGGTTTGTCACAACTTTAATTATTAGTACAGAGTAGTATTAATGAGGGAAAATATGTAAACAAATATTCTTAATAATATAAATGTCCGCACAATATTATTAAAAGTGAAAATTAATATTAATGGCGGCAATAAGTAAATTAACATTTTGGAGGGTATATTATCCAAATACAAAGTACAATAATATTTATAAGAGTTATATCAAACATTTTAAAAGATAGAGATACTTGAACATTTAACTAGTGCAATGTATTAACATTAGTATACATTTAGATGTATAATGATTTTTATAGGAAATTGAAATCATAACAATTACAGACTATATTAGAAGTTAAGACATTACTCCGTATTAAACAAAATGGTCTGCATATTATAAATAAGGTAAAGGACAACCTTAAAGAATATATGTGACTATGTAAGAAAGGTCAACATAGAATTTGATTTAGGGTCTGTTCACATTTACTGAACTGAACTGATAGGAGCTGAATTGAACTGAACAAAAATGAACTGAACTGATTGGAGCTGAACTGAACTGGACTAAACTTAACAAAGCTGAAATGAATATTTTATGAGAGAGGGAAATTAGGAGCTGAACTGAACTAACTTATTAGAGCTGAACTGAAATGAACTGAACTAAACTGATTGGAGCTGAACTGAACTGAACTGAATTGAAATTAAGTAAATGTGAACAGGCTCTTAAGCTAGCTTAGCATGTTACAAGAACAAATTAAAAGTTTGCAATGTAAGAGCTAAGATGATTCCAAATTAAGCATAGACCACAAAATTTGAACTCATAAAAAGTGGTTTAATTGTTTGTTTAAAGATTAGACAAGTTCAAAAAAAAAAAAGTTCTATGGATTAAAAAAAAAAAAAAAAAAAAAAAGGTTAATAGTCTCACTAAGAACATACTTGGTTGGACTATTTTTTTGTTGGAAATAAATTTAAACAAACTATTGCCATTACCCAAGTTTGGATAACTGACTACTATTATTATTATTATTACCTAAGGGTAATGGTTTCCACTAATTTGTTACCTCTCTAAAACCTAAGGTAACAATTACCCTTACTCTCCTCAAACAAATAAAGCTAAGGAAGATAAGTTTAAGTGATTTCATTCCATGATTAAATCAAACAAATGAAAAGGTAAGAGTTAAATGATTTGTTTCCTCCCTTTTATTTGTTTTTTTTTTCCACTCCATTTTCATTAGTCATACCAAACACCCCCTAAAGGTGCACTGATCTAAAGTTGAATATTGAGGAGTACTTATACTTCACTTGTTTCCTTTTAAAAAATGAAATATTTTGACTTTTACATTATTCATATACTTAACATTGATTAGTTTGATAAAATAGTTAAGAAATATTATAGTCATGTGAAATCTTATTAGATTCATCTCTATTTATATTTTAAAATAGTATTAAGTTATGAATTTATGACAAATTTACGCGTCATTCGTTGTATATAATGTTAGTTTTATTCTAATGTATCCACTTTTAGTTCTCTTATCTAATGCCCGGGCCGGGAGCGATATTTAACTTTTACCTATATATTTTAATAACATCTAGTTTTTATACTCCCTTTGTCCCCAAAACTTTGACCCTTTTGGTCTAATTTTAATCCCAAAATGATCAACTCATTTGCATTAAAAACCCATTAACTTACAACAATATTTGTGCAAAATTAGCTAGCTTCCTCATTTACAATTTTGTTTTTTCATGTATTTTTAATACTTTATCTCTCTACTTTTTTACAAACCCCATGTAAATTTATTTTCCAATATGTTTTTATTTCTTTTTCTTTAAGTTTCTTAATAACTGCAAAATCAATCCAAATAGGTCGAAGTTTTGAGGACGGAGGGAGTACTTTTTACACACTACTAATAAAAAGATATTAATGATTATAATAAAATAATGTATTGAAAAATAAGTAATGAAAAATATTCCAAAAAAACAAAGAAAGTAGTGTAATTATTAAGCTTGTTAGTGTGTTACTCCCACAATTTGGAGTAAAAATTAAACAAAAATGACAAAACTAAAACTAACAAACAAAAAAAAAATCTTATCTACTTCTCGTAGGTGTATAGTTGTAAATCACTTAGTATAAACGTCAAATCATTCAACCGAATTCAGATAAAAGTCATTTTAACGTGCGAGGGAGTATGGAGTGCGCTTGGACTGAGAAATGAGGCCCATAGATGCCCTCACGTGGACTCGCCTCCTGCCTTTTTAAGGGGTTTGTTATTTGTCGCTCCCATTTTACCGGATAACGCTCCCTTTTTTTCTTGAAATTCCAATTTTACCCGTAATATATAAATACGGTTTTTTCCTTCCCGACCAACATTTCTCACTTCTTTACTTCTCTCTCTAACTCTCTTACTCTCAAACTCTCTAACTCTCTAAAACAATTTTTTTTTTTTAAAAAAATTCAAAAATTGTTCTTCATTTTTTAAAAAAATAACAATCATCATAAACACAAAAGAAAATGGGTGATTCGAGGCGGATTAGGCTGAGATTCGGAGGGAGGACCTTCGGCGGCGGTGGCGGTGATGGTGGAGACGAGGTTTTTTTTTTTTTAATTTCGGATCCAGGAACTTCCGCCCAAAATTTCCAGATGTTCCATGGAGGATCCGGAAA